GGGGGCCGGGGCGCCAGGGGGGGGGGGGTGGTTTTTTGGGGCGCCCCCCCCCCCCCCCCCCCCCACCCCCACGTCCCGATATTTCACTTCTGTCATCTGGTCACCCTAGTTCCAGCAGACATCTCAGGTGGTAAGCAGGGGTTTTCTCGTGACTGGCAGCCCCCTTTGTCCTGCTACACTCCCTTTTTATAGCTTTGGCACACGGTGGGAATCTTTTATCTCTCTAAAAAAAGAACAGGAGTACTTGTGGCACCCTAGAGACTAACAAATTTATTAGAGCATAAGCTTTCGTGGGCTACAGCCCACTTCATCAGATGCATATGCTGTAGCCCACGAAAGCTTATGCCCTAATAAATTTGTTAGTCTCTAAGGTGCCACAAGTACTCCTGTTCTTTTTGCAGATACAGACTAACACGGCTGCTACTCTGAAACCTGAATTTTATCTCTGGGCCCCCACCCCTCCTTCTAAATGGAAAAGTACCAGATTTAAGATGGATTCTAGTATCATGTGACATGGTCACATGTTACTGTAAAACCCCTCCCCCCTCTCCATTCTTCCTGGGTTGGCCCACACCTCCACAGGATGGCTTGCAGGTAAATAAACCATTTACAACCAATTGTCAAGTAGTCAATGGGAGCGATCAAGATTCTAAACCACCATCAATGGCCCACACTTTGCATAATTACAATAGGACCTCAGAGTTATACTTCATATTTCTAGCTTCAGATACAAGAATGATACATGCATACAAATAGGAGGAATATATTCAATAGGTTATAACCTGTGTCATGATACCTTACAAGAGACCTTTTGCATAAAGCATATTTCCATAAAACATGGAGTGCACCGTCACAGGGGGCTTTCCAGAAACATCGACTGTCTCCCTCCAGCCTTATCAGGTGCCTTTGCTGAGGCATGGTTTACCAGCACAGTCACAGGCTATTCCTTGCCTCCCTTCGCGGCACCCCTCTGCATTTTTGCTGTAGGGGATGGAGTATTACGCTTCCGCCTGAGAATCTGCTGGAGAATTCCAGAGCCCTCTGCAAGTGAAACCTGAGCCCTCGGCTTCCTGCTGCATTGCTGGCTCCTTCTGGGGGATTAGATGTTGGTGGTCAGAGTCTGCATTGTTGTAGTGATGTGGTGCCAAGCAGCCTGGCCTCCATCAACAGCAAGTCCACAGGCAACCCAGAGCCTGGCTGCTTTGGGTTTGCCTCTGTCTGGCATCTGATTAAAGACCCTGTCAGAGTGTGTTTAAACCCAGGAGTTCAGAAGGCAGCAGCCTCGTTTCTCTCTCTCTTGATGTGTTTTTCCTAAGGTTTCTTTTTAAAATGCCGCTTCAGCTTTCCAGCCATCCCCGATGCGTGAGACACTGGGTGCCCTCAACTCCCATTGGACCCAGTCTGAGTTGGAGGGCTCAGTACCTCGCTGGGTCAGGCCTGAATACCCTGGCATGAAATCAGTGATTGAGCTGCATTTAAAGTGGGGTCGTGTCCACAACAACCCAGGCGTAAGCAGAGCAAGCTGCCACCGCACCAGCCTGTCCTCAACCCTGATCTGCAGGAGCCACCTGTAGCGGGAGAGGAGAGTGCAGTCTCCACAGCCAGTTCAATCTCTGACCCCACTGCTGAGGCTGCCAACAAGGGGGCTGGTTAGGGATCTGGTTTGGGCAGAAGCTTTTGCACAGACTTTATTCATCAAAAATGCAGTTTCTGGTGAGAAGTGTTTGCAAGTTTGACGTAAATTCACCAGATCGTTTCAGCCGCACCCTCTTTTCAGGATTTAGGCCCTGTTCATTTAATATGGGCTAGGAGGGGGTGGTTAGGGTGCTCACTTGTAATCTCAGTGTCCCCTTCTGCCTGATGTGGAGAAGGGATTTGAACTTGGGTCTCCCACGCTGCAGGAGAGTGCCCTAGTCACTGGGCTGTGGGATATCCTGGTGTGGCTTTCCCTGTCTCTCCTCTTGAATCTGTTCCACTTTGTATCAACAGTCATTGGAGTGGGGGCTTGAGTTTGGGGGTCTCACATCCTGGGTGAGTGCCCTGACTACCAAGCTATAGTCATCCTTGCTTTGTCCCTGCTCCAGTGGCTAATTATTTAGACAAATTGGAACAGCTTCAATAGCAGAAATTGAAGGTTCCCCCCCCCCATCAGAATATTCCACAGCCCAGTGACTAGGGCACTCTCCTGCAATGTGGAGAGCTAAGTTCAGATCCCTTCTCCACATCAGGCAGAGGAGGGGAATTAAACCTGGGTCTCCCACATCCCAGGTGGGTGCCTTAATCCCTGTGCCGAACGTTAGAAGAAGGGCACCGCCTCTTCCTCTGGCCATTTTGTGACTCTAGCCCTCTCTAAGGATATACAGAACAAAGCATTTGGGGTTGAATGACGTTTGTTCGACCCAAAATGTATTTTTTTTTAATTCACCGACACTTTTTGCAAAGTTCAGCTTGTTCGTTTCCTGAGTATTTTCGGAACTGCCAGTGAATCAAAAACTCAGTTGTTTGCGCAGCTCTACCTGTGATGTGGGACATTTAGTCTCTTGAAACTGCACTGAGACCCCTGACTGGCTCCAAGGTCACCGAACGGCAATCAGTAATGGCTTAACCTGGTCTGGATTCCATTGCTAATCCTGTGAACGCACTGCTCGGAAATGGCGCAGGGCTTTCAGCACTAAGGCAGATTGCCACCGAGGGGCAGGTGTCTGGGAATCTCCCCTGTCACGAAATGTCTGGCCTCTGAGGATGTCTGAAGCCCAGACTCTGTGGAAGGGGTTTCCTGATGCCTCTGTCCAGAGCAGGGCACAAAGGGAAGGTTGCCTTTTGTATGGAGGTCACTTGGATTTAAAGTCTGTCTTCCAGCCAAACCCAGCTCCATTTGCTGTAGCTGAGACAGCAAAAGGCCTGCAGTGCAGGCATGGAGCACAGAGTGACAAGTGAATGGTCCAGAATTGAGCAACTGGGAGAACTTACATGCTGAGATCAGTTTGGGACATGCAGTCACAGGGTCCAAGACACAGATAAAAGTGAGTTACAGCATCTGCCAAAGGGAGAAGCCCTCAGAGGCCCTGCCTTTCCAAGCCCCTCCCTGCACTTAGAGCATCTAGAAGAGAGAAAATAGGGAGCCCAGGCAGGGTGCCTTCTCCTGACTGTGTTCCTGAACCCGATAATGAGATCTGTTTGGCCCATGCCTGTGCCTCCCACTTCAGAGGGTCTTGTCAATTGAAGACGAGGTCTGTGTGGCTAGAAAGCTTGTCTCTCTCACCAACAGAAGTTGGTCCAATAAGATATTACCTCACTCACTTTGTCTCTCTTATCAATTGCATGACAGCTGCGGAGCCTTGAGCAGTATGGAATCGTACCCATCTCTCTCGAATCTTGGGGTTCAGAAACCATTATCTAGCTGTTGAAACATCTCCCTCAGTGCAGAGGGATGACCCACAGGCTCAGCGCAGCTACAAGATTCGCTTTTAATTTTTTGCTTTTCAAGCTAACCCAAACTTGCAAAAAAAATTTTGCCCGTTGAAGTTTCTCTCGTGCAACTCAAAATGGCTTCAGCTGGAAAAAACTGTCTCTTGACAGGTGACATGTCTGACCTGCTCTGTAGTCATTTGCTTGGCAAGTTTTCTTTCATCAGGACTGATCAGAAATTGTTCCCTGGCATTTGGGCTGCAAAAACTCTGGCCAGTTCTGGTTGATTAGAAAAGAACAATTCCCGCTAGAAGCGTGATCTAGTGGTTAAGATACAGCACGGGGAGTCGAGAGAGCTGCATTCTCCCAGCTCTGCAACTGGATTGCTGTGACATGCAGGGCAGGTAACTTCACCTCTTTGTGCCTCTTTTCCCCATCTGTGATGTGGGTATAATAATACCAATCTCCCTCGCACAGAATTAGTGACCAAAGACTTACTTGCTTTAGCTTTCTGACCTCCTCTCCCATCAATGCAGATCCCCAAGATCTACCTACCCCCAGTTAATACTGGGGGCATCCACAGTGTCAGCTGGACCATGCTGTCCTAGTGTAATGCTAGAATATGAGTGCAACTAATAACTGGGACCAAGTATCCCTGGTGGCTCAGAATTCCACTGATGGCTCTTAACCAGAAATGCCTGTAGTGCAGGGAGAATAGAGGCTGGGTTATCAGGGGGCCTTTCCACTCTAGGAGTCCAGATCTATGTTGGGGGAGTCTCAATTCCCAGGAATGGTGTGGAGAGGTCCCTACTGCGTGAGCTGCAGCACTGGAGGCGTTTGTGGGGCTGTGGTATTCTTATGCTCCCTGTGTATCGTGTCAGTTGGGAGAGGCAGGGAGTTTGGCTTGCTAGCGGGGTCAGACTGACGCTTGGCAAGGGTGTGCCTTGCTCACTGCAGACTTTCCTTGTGTGGAGAGGAAACAGAAGCCGAGTATCTGCCCATTATTACGTTCCCTTTACTGATGAGGAAACTGCATCAAAGAAACTAGCTGGAGGCCACACAGTGAACCAGTGTCCTTCCCTCCCACGCCCTCTCCACTGCTTCCTGATAGTCACTGGATTTAAACGGAGCAGCTCTTATTTCAACGGCTGGTGCAGATGGGTGACACCCATAGCTTGGGTAGGGGAGCGATATCCCTGGGTGTGCATGAACTAGTCCCCTCCCTGTGGCATATAATAAATAAAAGGGGGTAGTTGATTATCAGGGAATGTGGCTTGAGGCTACCTTGGAGAAGAAGCAGTCCTGTTATCTGCCATGTGCTGCTCTCCTCTCCTACTACGCTGTTTGGAAATGCAGCACAGAGCTTTGCAAAACTGAGTTGAATTAAGTAGATGAAGGGAGGAAGGCTGGTCATATGATCATGGCATACATAAGAACAGCCAGACTGGGTCAGACCAAAGGTCCAGCTAGCCCAGTGTCCTGTCTTCCCACGGTGGCCAATGCCAGGTACTGGACTCAGGTGACCTGGGTTCTGTTTCTGGCTCTGCCACAGACTCCCCATGTGACCTTGGGCAAATCACTTAGTCCCCCATGCCTCAGTTTCCCATTAGTAAAATGGGGATATTTCCCTGCCACACAGGTGGGTTTTGAAGATACATCTGGTAATGTCGAAGTGAGAGCAGGGAATATAAATTCCTAGACAGGAGAATAAAATGAAGCAAGATGTGGGAGGCTATTTCACAAAAGGGCAGGTTCTGGGAGTCAGTAGTGAGAATGGACCAGGGATGTCCTGAGTGTGGGTGCTTTGTAAGGAGGAAAACTCAGAGTGCTATGCAGATGGGGACTGGGACACTGCTCCACACACCAGCTGGTATGGTGGCAGGTACCATGCGGTCAGGGAATTGGGCCGGTTGGGGGTGTGTTGCAGAGATCCCATAGGCCTTGAAGATGATGATGGGAAGCTTGAATTTGATAGGATAAGAGATGGAAACTGAGGGTTTGGGGGGGATATGGACTGTTCTTCGTGGAGAGGAGGCTGGATCTACATGTATCTATTTAATAGCATTATCCAATGGGAAGCATCTGATCTTAGATGAGCCAGATTATTGTGCTGGCCAATCTCGCTCCACCTCTCTGAGGCTTTGTACGTATGTTTCTTTTTCTCTTTTAGAAGGCAGCATTAGTGCCCTGGGCTCTGCCTCCTTGTATTGCAGCTTCCCCCGCCCTGACGTGTGTGTGTGTGTCTCCCCACTTTAGCAGCGTCGCCCTTAAGCTGAAAAACTGGCCAGCACAATGGGAAAAAAGCAGAACAAGAAGAAAGTGGAGGAGGTCTTAGAGGAAGAAGAGGAGGAGTATGTGGTGGAGAAGGTCCTAGACCGGCGAGTGGTGAAAGGCAAAGTGGAGTATCTGCTGAAGTGGAAAGGCTTCTCGGAGTAAGTGGAGAGGATGCATCCCAGTCTGTGATCCTGCCTTGTGCTGACAGTGGTTAGGGTGTCGGTCTGGGGCTTGGAAGAGCCAGGTTCAGTTCCCTGCTCCAGTACAGCCTCCCTGTGTGACCTTGGGCAAGTCACGTAGCCTCTCTGTGCTTCAGTTCCCCGTGTATAAAATGGGAATAATTGCCCTGCCTTGCTGGGGGAATCGTGATGATAAAGACATTATATGCCAGTCCAGCTGGGCGGGCAAGAAGGTCCCACTTCCTTCCTCCTTCCTTCCCCTTGGGGATGGGCTGTTCACAGGCCATGGCAATCCCCAGCCCCTCCTTCCTCTCTGATCTGGATGGTCAATCCAGTTCGGTGTATGTGGGAGGAGAACGAGAGACATTGCCTTAAAGGATTCCCTTTCCCGTCCCTAGAAAGCCAAGTCTGAACTTGTGAGTGAAGTGCCTATGGGCTGGTGTGGAAATGGGTCACATCTACCCATCAGGGCAAGTCTGTGACTGGCTTCAGCTTCTACAGCTCAGCCTCCTCCCTCCCAGATCAGGGTACCCAGAACACGGCCAGGGTGTAGACCGCTACGGCTCTGGTCGCATCTCCATGGGCCTGTATCCAGGGCGTCCCTTCACTGACTCTAACCCCCTGGCCTGAGCCACAGGCCGTAGTGATGAGAGCAAGCTGTCTCCTTTGATTTCAGCGAGGATAACACGTGGGAGCCGGAGGAGAATCTCGACTGCCCCGACCTCATTGCAGAGTTTCTCCAGTCCCAGAAAACCGCACACGAGAGTGAGAAATCTGAGGGGAGTAAACGCAAAGCCGAATCTGACACAGAGGACAGAGGGGAGGAGAGCAAACCAAAGAAGAAAAAGGAAGAGGTGAGGCAGGACTACTAGGGGAGAACCTCCCCATCCCCTATATGTGAAGTCTTGTTCCTGGATTCATCACTAGTGTGTAGTAGTTAGAGCGGAGGACAGGGAGCCAGGCCCCTTGGGTTCTATTCGCAGCCCTGCTGCTGACAGCTTGTGACCCGCCACGCCACTTCCCTGCTGTAAATTGGAGATGATAATAGTCACCAACCCCACAGAGAGGCTAGTTGTGTCTGTGAAGTGCTTTAAAATCCTTAGCTGGGCAAAAACATTCTTTCTCATCTCCCTGTCTCTGTTGGCGTGACGGCGGTTAGAGATCAAGCCCCACTTCAGAGCCAGAGGCCAGTTGATAAATCGGGGGCAGTGTTTAGAGCTAAGCTGAGGTGCCCTCCTGGGATGGCAGGCGGAGTCCACCAGAGCAGTGAAGCCTCCCCCCTCTGACCTCAGGTCATCACTGACAACCGGGAATAAAAAAAAATATGCACAATGGGGATAGTGGTGCAGGTTATTAGGTCAAAACAAGGGGAGCACAGAGCAGAGAACCCTGGACAGTGCCCTCTGCCCCCAAAGGGTTGGTGGACTCTGCCAGATATGTGCATGGACAAGGGACCAGAAAAGGGCCCCACTGTCACAGACAACCCCCCAAGTCTGGCTTCCTTCTCCTGAGCTGATGAATGGACATCTTGGCTGGTGTAGGAGGAAGCTGGCAAGCAAGGTCTCAGAACTTCGTAGGACCACAGCCCTGGAGATCAGGTTCTTTTTTCCACATCCTGGGCAGCAAGGAGGTAAGCACCACTGCTGTGCCTCAGACCTGACCTGGCAGGATCCCCTTGTAGCCCGTTCCGTTTTCTGCAGACACAGGCCTGAGGCACACCTAGTCACCCCACTCAGCAGCCATCCAATGACGTCTGCTTCATTTGAATTCACAAAATGGCACAGCGACACACCCAGGCAGCAAGCAGAAACGTCCCTCTTTGTCTTTCAGTCGGAGAAACCACGAGGCTTTGCCCGGGGGTTTGAACCTGAGCGGATCATCGGCGCCACCGATTCCAGCGGGGAGCTCATGTTCCTGATGAAATGGTGAGTGTGTCTGTGTCCGTCACTTTCTTCACTTACTCTGTGCCAGAGAGGCAAGGAGCTGCACCTGGGGAGTCCCTTCTAGCTGGCCTGAAATCTCGTGGTGGCGCTGCCGCCTGACTTGACCCTCGGCGCTGAGGCTAACGTGGATTTGCTATCAACAGGTAGGACCCTTGGGATTCTGGGATTCTTAAGATCTCTGCCACAGGCACAAGCTTGGGGAGAGGAGGGCATGGCTTGATGGTGCTGGCCTCCGGTTCTGTGCCTGGAATAGAGCCACATCGGACACAGCTTCCCCTGTCGGCTGTGGCAAACAGGGTTGGGCCACTGGGGCAGGGGGATCTAGGTCTGTTCATCCCCAGCTGTGGCCAGAGGTGGGAGCTACTTGTCTTGCTTGGTGTTGCGTACTGCAGATGAGATGGGGGGCGGGGCTGCAGCTTTGACCCCTGCTCCCCACAATCCCCTCATGCCTGAACTTGTTTGGTGGGCTTCCTGCATCTCAGGCATTTGGAGCATTGCCTGGAAAACCCATCTGGCCGAGGCCTTCCTTACCTGCTGCTTCTTGGGTTACTCCAGTGACATCTGTTTCCAACCCCCTTCACTGTATCTCTGCTTCACCCTGTAGGAAGAACTCTGATGAGGCTGACCTGGTCCCCGCAAAGGAAGCCAACATCAAGTGCCCCCAGGTGGTCATCTCGTTCTATGAGGAGAGACTGACATGGCACTCTTACCCCTCGGAAGACGACGACAAGAAAGAGGACAAGAACTAACCCACGCCTGCTCTGGCCAACCTTTGTATAAAGATCAGACTGTGGGTTTGAGCGACAGTGAGAGAATGCAGCTCTACTTAGCGGAGAGGTGGCTTGAGAAGATGCCCTTTGAAGAGACAGTATGGTTTCTGTGCCCTGCAGCTGCCCAAGTGTCCAGCTTCAAACCAGCCTGACATGAGGGGGAGGGGGAGATGTGTTTCAAGGCTGTCTGTTCTGCAGCTTTCTGGAGAGGAAGTGAAAGCCCCTTCCATGAAGAACTCTCGCTGGTGCTGGGTAGGCTGGGGAAAGGGAGAGCAGATGGATACTGCTTGTTCTTCAAAGACCATCTCAGCAACCCACAGCCTTCTTCCCAATAGTGTTAACTCTGCATTTTTACAGCGTAGCATGTGTGTAGGTTTTTTCTTTTTGCTATTACTGGTGTATCAGTTTGGGGTGGGGTGGGGTTTTTTTAAGGGGGGGGGGGGAGAGAAACGGTTGACAGTGTTCCAGATCCATGACCAGAATCCTTTTTTATAAACATCTTTATTAACTTAAACCCCCAAGTATTGGTAATAGGACTAGGGGGAGGGACAATGGTATGAGACTGAAGCTGTGAATGTCCAAATCCTCAATCCCTAGAGCAATGTTATTGGGGGCAGGGTGGGGGGGGGCGGGACCGGCAAAGATGCAAGCCTGTAATTAGTAGTGTCTCCAAACAGAACTGCCAGTGTTGCTGACTTGTGCATTGTAAATGAGAAGGTGGGGAATGGGGAGGGAATCGATATCAACCCCTTAAAAGCCCTTCTACCCCCTTTCCGTTAAGGTGCTATTTTGTGAAATTAGAAAGTTCTGATTTCTCTTTGATTTCTTTTCAACCCCAATTGGATTCTGTCCAGCATCCCCTTTATTCTCTGTATGTATGTACGTATGTATGTGATAACACGTTCCTCCCTGTTTTTAATCCTATTAGTGTAATGTGAGAGGGAGGTGAAATCATTTCAAAATCCTCTCCTAACAAGTGATTTGTTTTCAAGCCCAAACTTCAGCACTGGAGCCAGCTCTGTTGCTCTGCTGAATTTTTTTTTAATCAAACGGATTTATTAAAAATACTGAAATATTTAATGTCTGGAGTCATGAGCTCCTACAGGCTCTTGGCACCTCCTTGTAGGGTGATATGTATCTAGAACTGCATTGTACAAACCTTTTTTTAAAAGCATGTGTTGTTTAGGTTTCTGTGAAAACATTGTTTAAATGTAAAGTAAGTGTTTGGATTTTAACTTCATACCAAGTTCTGTCCGGTTTTTGTCTCAATAAAATTTTAGATTTATAATCCCGATTTTACTTTTGCTCCCTTCTGCAGCTGTGGTTGTGTGAGAGTCGATCGCAAGGCGTAGAACAGTTAACGGAGAGGAGTTAACATGTTGCTACAGATGTCCGCTCTCAAGAGGACTGGATCACTGATGCAGCCTGGGTGATAGGCCCCCGTGCATTTGTGAATTAGGTGGCTTCAGAGGCAGGAATTTCAGAGCAGCCAGCAGCCTATTTATTTTGACTTCCCATCTGGAGAGAGTAAGTGTCTAGGAGGTTAGTGTCTAGTGCAAGTTCGAGTCAAATCTCCTAGGGTTCTAGTAGCCCTGGATTTGGTAATCACTGGCCAGTGACTACTGGGTCTGGATGCAATTTGCACCGGTGGAACTTACCACACTTGAAGTGTGTGTGTAGCGAGCACCATGCTTTCACATGCTCTTCCCCACTCTGCCACCAACTTGGCTGATCTTGGGCAAGTCACGTAAGCAGTCAGAGGGGAAAGTGCAGCACAAACATGGAATGGATGTTATGAGGCTTCCTTTCTGTTTAAAGGACTTGAGGATTCTGTGCAATGAGTGCAGAGTCGTCAGCTGTCTTGCCTGGAGCAGTGGTTTTTATAAAGCTCTCTTAATAGTTCCAGGGTCTCAGGAAGATCAAACCTCACTAATTCCTGTCCAACCTTTTAGGAGTGACGGAATGCTGCAAACTGGCAAGAATGAACCCACAGATCAAGGGTACTGCATGGTGAAATGTACCGTGGCTGGTTTGTTTCAGCCAACGAACGCATTGTGGCATAACAGGAAACGTGCTGGTGCATATTCTGAAACCTGAGTAATTCAGACAGCTGCAGCCCTAGGTGTGCCATTACTGAGAAGTGGACTCAGCGGGCTGGGTCATTAGGTTTTGGAGTTACGCAGTTAGGGTAAGAGGAACTAGTGAGAGTCTCATTTGTTGGTGGCCAATCAGAGTGCTGGTGCTTAGTTAGTGAAACAAAAGCATGCAGCCAATCGGAATCCAGTTTATTTGTAAAAGTGCACTCTGTACCCAACAGCACAATGAAATTACAGCCTCTGCTGGGGCACTTGAGGATGTTAAACCTGTATTAATCACTTGGGTCCAGCTAATTGAACATAATAAAGCTTGGATCCCCTAGGAGGTGCTGGTGATCTAAATTGCAGCAGGTAGCAGAAGAGGTTTTAGTGTAGTCAAGAGCGCAGGGATGGAACTGCAGCTTAACAGGCAGAGTCTGGCTTTCCTCCTAATAGTGTTAATGCTGCACAGAGTGGCTGGAACAAGGGGTTGGTCCCAGCACTGCCACTGCCTTGCCCTATGGCTGAGCAGGATGCTACACCTCCCGCTGCCTTAGTTTCTCCATGTATGAAGCTAATCCTCAAAGCCGCCCAGAGTAGGACTCTTCCCTGGACTGTGTTGAGTGGTGCCCCTCTGCTCCTGGCAACAGGCTGATGCGCTCCCTGCCTAGAAGTCTCATTAGGAGTGGGGCTTTGATGGACTCTGACGTGGGAACAGGAGCGATTTCCTTGGCAGTCTCCAGCCACAGTCCTTTCACCAGACCCTACATGTCTGGGAAAAGCAAGGGGCTGCCCTTAATGAGACTTAATGTTGAACTGACTGACCCCAATGGTGAACAATAACAGAACAGCCTGATGCTCCTTAGAAATGACGTTCCATCACAACTCTTGCTGAGATCAGACACTGAATTGGCAGTGGAGAAATACTTCCTGCTTTTGAAAACAAAAGTCTCCACTTCACCTGATTACAAAGCAGCAGGGTGGCAGCTTGAGCCATGGAATGAGGCGAAAGCAGCAATGTGGGTAGCTGGTTAAACCCCTTCCCCTCTACCTCTGGTTTGTATTAAGAGGCCATGGCCTGGCTGCCCAAAGCAAGACGTGACAGCTTTGGGCAGGGAGCCCAGAAGTAAATGGGTCTGTCGGGCTAATTTTCCTCTCAGACTTGCTGCTTTGCAACTGCATGCGTTGTGAGGCAACTGGTTTTTTTTTTTTTCCACTTGTGTCTGTCTCAACCTGCCCATCTGGCAGGCCATTCTGACTCCAACTCACACAAGCACAAATTTCAATCACAGGCTCAGATACAAAGGTGGAAAAGACCCTGGTGGAACAGATTCCTTCCCCACGACCTTCTGCTGGAAATCAGCAGAAACTGGAGAAGAGCATGATTAGTGGTTAAAGCAAGACTCAGGTTCTCCCCCTTGTTCTGTGGCCTCAAGGAAGTTAATGAATCAAGCTGGCCCTTAACACAAAAGATGGGGGGAAATATTTCTCTCTGGGCCAGGCTTCATTAACTGAGCTTTGAGATCCTTTGTTGAAAAGTCCCATCACGATGCAAATATTGGCTGTTGTAAAATGAAATCCAGGAAACATCACTGGAGTAAGACGTGCTGTGAGCACAGGGATGCTGTGGCAATCTCTGCTCATTTACAACACCTCTGTATGTGGTCAGTTTCATGGTTTCCCTCCCCCCTACAGTCAATCTCCATCCTACAAGGCTGAGGCCCAAGGGAGCCAACTCACACACCTGATCAACTTTCCTCATGTAAGCATTCGCAGGAGCAAGGTGGGAATCAGTTTCTCCTGCTTCCTGCTCACACCAACACCGAGAAAGTTTGGAAAAATGTTGTAAAACAATTAACATTTTCAGGGTGTCTTAGCACCAGGTGCAACCTCTAAAAATACTTTGAATTGACTAGCTATCAAATGAGTGGTGTCCATTTTGAGTAAATCCCAAGAAGTATTAGCCCCAGGGAGAGAGTAAAATTTACAAAGCAAAACTACCAAAATTAAAAATCCTATTTAAAACAAATATCCTGAGGTGGTTAATACTTTAAATTAGCTGCCTGACCTCCAATGCTGTCTTCCTTTTTGCATTTCAGCTTGGAGTGAAACTAGATTGGTCAGGTTCACGTACTAGCAGCAAGACTGGTTCTAGTCCTGTAAACCCATGTCTTCTCAGGAAAACACTTCTCTTTATATTATATAACATCCCCACTTTCCTCAATGGAAAGAGGGACTATTCCAATGGATGCACTAAGTAAAAATAACATTTGCAGATCATGTCACACATTTTTTGGAAACTTACATCAGTTGCATAGCTTCTAATGCTGGCTGGAAATTCATTTGCTTTAAAGGCCCTGTTCTGCCCCTAAGTAGCAATAAATCCTACAGAGAACTGGATAAAAAAAAATTAGTACAGGAACCACTTTGGGCCATAGGTATAAATCCATAGTAGGGCTCCAGAAACATTTCAGGACCCTTCCTGGAGGTTGTCGTCATTACTAGAGATTTAAGCGTATTTTCCTTACCCAGGCTTTAATACCGGACCTTAATCACATTTTTAAAAAACTAGTTCATGTGTTCCTAGGGACGTGCACTTTGCTGAGAAACAAACAGCTGATGGTTTTACTTTTGTTTATAGCACATTTCCTCTTCTACTTTCCATAGCTTAGCAAAATGCTGCAGAGGAAGGTTAATTTAGTCCCTCCACTCATACTATTTTCATGGGGGTTTAAGTTTACTGAAAGCATTTCTATTAATGGTTTGAATTTTGAAATGTAGAGTTTTGGCCTATAGCTGATGGTCCCTTTAACAAACAGCCATTTATTCTCTCATAACCGGGGGGGGAGAGAATTGCTATATTATGGTAATTTTTGAAATGCACTTTCTATTCATAAGTCATTTTGGGGTTTTAGAAACAGGATGAGCATGAGCTTTCAAGGGAAGCTGGGCTCCAATGTCACTTAAGTACTTTTGAAAACATTCACCTGTGTCTAATGTGCAGGATGCTTGCGTCTGATTCCAGCTTTGGCAACCCTGTTTCCTCATCTGTAAAACAGAGGTAGCTCTTGTCTCAAATCTGTCTGTAAAGTGCTGTGGGATCCTGGGACTAGCGAAAGGCATTGCTAGAGGAGGTAAGTAGTAGTACAGTGAGTGGGGGAGCAGTATGGGGCTTATAGCAGGCCCACGCCTCTACTCTCCCTGTAAGAACAACAGACCCTTAAGCCTGGGTGGAGAAACCACTGCCACCAGGACTGCCTCAGAGCAACTCCTCCTACTTGCAAAGCTTCTGGCACCGGAGCAGCTCCTCTTTAGGAGAGGGAGGGGAAATACGGCATAATGGGCTGGGCCCAGAGCCCCTTTACTCTTCTCTCAACCTATCAGCTCAGATCTTTGAATGATGGGCTGTGGATTAAGGTGCTGAGCTGGGCCTCAGGAGGTTGGATTCAATTTCCAGGTCTGCTACAGACTCCCTGGACCTTGGCCAAGTCACTTCATCCTGTAAAACAGGAATGATTACTTCCTTTCTCTCACTGTTTATCTTGGAAGCTCTTTGGGGCAGGGTCTATCAAAGAGGCCAGATTTTCAGCTGACAAGAAGGAATAGCTCCGTTCATGTCAATGCAGCTATCCCAACTTACATCAGCTACAGCTCCAACTCACCCAGCATCTGCCTCGGAGTGAACTGGGCAGCGTGGGTGGAGGGTGTAAGCCCCTCGGTGGGTTTGCCACCTGGAGCACGCCCTCACTGCTCAGGTTATTAATCATTACTTCTGCCTCTAGAAAGGTCTGGAAAGGCAGCAAATGTGCAAAGAGGCACACTGCCTGCAAATGACTGAGCTTGGATTTGTCTCAAGCCTCTGCCTGGCAACCACCCTGAGGCCCTATGCCAAAAGTTACCACCATAAATAAAGCAAAAGGGGGAGGGGGAAGTTAGGTGCTTTTGAAAATTCTACTCACCAGCTCCTTACCTAACTCCTAGGGACTTTCAGAGAGACTCCTTAGTACCTGTCACTTGACAACGGGATGTAGGTGATGTTGAAATATTTATCCTCTTGCAGACCCGGGAATGAGGCTGTTTCTCTCAGGATGAGCCCCATTGCTGTCCCTGTCTCTCTGGCTACTTTCATTTTTCTTCTTCTTCCCTTCCTCAGCTCCTGTCTCAGGTTAGTCCCTCAAGGGAGTGAGCGAGCGAGTTTTATTTGCAAAGCATCAGGTAG